AGAAACAAAAATAAACAAACCAGTGCCAAGAGCCATGCCCGAACCAGAGGGACGAGGGGTCTCACCAACAAGCGGACGCCTCGAAGGAGTGCCCAAACCAATCCGGGCAACATCCACGCCACCAGGATCATTAGGATCCATGTTGCCTACAAGGGCCTTCATCAAATCCGCTAGAAAAAATCAAACTAAAATAAGTCTAAAAATTTAAGGTATGAAGCAACCAGGAAAACTGAAGTCGACAGATAACTTACCCAGGTGCAGAGGACTCCGAACAACATTTGAAGTACCAGCCTTCGTGGTCCACTACGCAAAAGCCCAGAAGGCCACACTCTAAAAAGGGCCAGGAGAAGATTGCGCCTCCGCATCGTCTTCAAACACCTCGATGGCCCAGGTGGCCGCTGGACGGCGCAGGCTCGCAACACTAGCCCTCGCGTCTCCAGGAGGGGACGCTTCTCCAGCATCAAGGCCTTCACCTTCGGAGTCGGAGTAGTCATCACCCAAAATGCCAGGCATGGGCACCACGGCGGAAGGCTCAGTAGTACTCCCTCCTCCCATCCCCCGAAGAGCATCCTCAATGAACCTGTTGCCGCCTAAATCCAAAGAGGCGACAGAGTGCTCGCCCTCCGTCCCAACGCCCTCAGAGGCGGGACCTCCGCCTACATTTTCTGCAACCTCTTCACCATCAGCAACGGAGGCAGTGGCGGAGGCAACACTAGACGAGAGGATGGTTTTTTGTTTCTTGCTGACGGTTTTAGGCCCGTCAGCCCCCTTCCTCTTCTTCAACTCTGCCACCGCAGTAGCATTTTTAGCAACAGCCTTCTTTGCCTTCTCTTCGATAGATTTCAGCACCTTCTAAGGAACCTTATGCTCCTCATGATGAATACCCAACTCTTCAAAACCCTGATTCAGACGAGGCATCGTGCCTCCGATGGCCCGTCGTGCGAGAAATTCTCTGTCGGAGATGTCACCGACGATCTCCCGTGCACCTTCCTCCATAGAAAACACAAAGTCTTCCGCACTCTCACCCTCCGGCAGCTCAATCCTAGATTGGAGGAAAGGAACCCCTCAGTCGGCCCATAAACAGTAATATTCACCATCTCAATCTTGAACGAAGGCCTCGATTTCCCAAGCGGCCAACAGTTCCCCAGAGTACCGGCAAGGCAAGGCGAAGGCCTTGTCATAGGCCTCCCTCTGAGGAGTCATCTCCTCACTAGGATTGACCTTCGTTAGAGGCTTCATCTCCATCATTACGGAGGCCAGCGAAAAGTGGGTACTCTTCTTCCCATCCTCGTGTGTAGTGGTGACGCCGAAGGTCTAGACATAAAACTAGTATTTTATCCAGTCCTTATCCCACTTGTTCTTCTAGCACCAAGAGATCTCCAATTGAGATTCCCCCTGCTGCCGCTTCGCCCTAAAAGCACAGCTGTTGTATTGAGCTATGAGCTCATCTTCACCCACCTTCTTTTTCTAACGCTGAAGTTCATAGTATGCGCAAAAAGTATCCAAATCAGGCGTAGCGCCATAGGACTCGTAGGCCCAGCAAAATTTACTCAGAGTGAGGAAGCCATTGGGGGTTAGATGATGAATCTGAAGGTCAAACTCCTCAAGCACTTGGGGAAGGAACTTGACGAAAGGTAGATAAAGGCCACATGAAAAGTAATCCTTGAAAACAATGGCATAGTCCTTACTAGGCGAAGGCACAGTCTCGCCCTGCGGAGGCTTAGCTCGGCCTACGGGAACATCCGTTCCTTCTCAAGCTTGGCGATCATCTTCTTGGTCATGAACAAAGGCCCAAAATCCCACATCTTCCCAGCCATCAGCCCCGCTTCTTCAGCTCCAATTAGATCACCAACGGAGGCTTCGACGCTAGCGAGATCTTCCACAAGCTCCTGCGCCTCCGCACTAGCAACCATGCACTCCTCAAACCATGCAGACCACCCGCTCACCCGAACGCCAAGAAGATGGTGGTAAGGACCAAAGAAAGTAGCCTGGTAGGGAGGAGAGCTGACAGGAGGAGCCACCGCCAAAATACTGGGCAAGGGCTAAAGCCAAGCGGAGGCTAGGAACAAAAACCAAAGGCTGAAGAAAACTAAAGAGGACTCCAAAGAACAAGGACAGGAACTTGAAAACAAAAAGATGCGAAAGCGACTGCTTAGACAAGAGATAGGGGAGCCCCCGCCAAGCCCCCTTTATATAGGCGGTGAACGGACGCTTCGCCTTCTAAGCGCCAACGGTCGAGTCCATTTGCACGCATCGGTTCCAAAGCCACCCCATCCAATCAAAATACGCAATGTCACGAGGCCAACGGTCAGATCCGAGTGGCCCAGGGGGGAAGAGGGGGGCAGTCTCCATGTCAGCAAAGGGCCTCCGTGCCTCAAAAGTATACCACATTTTGAGGACAAGGCCCACCAGCATTAGACCATGCCCTCAAAAGGGGGAACTGTTGGGGAATGACCATGAGCCACGGAGGCCGTAGAGTCTGGAGACAGCGGAGACTAACAAGTGAACCGGTTTTTCATGTGATGTGCAGGAAAGTTATGCGAAGGCCTCCGCCCTGATGGCCGCGTGAGGCGGAGGCCTGAGGCGCACGATGAAGGCTCATGGAAGCCAGGCCAATGGCGGAGGTCCCTGTGGCTTAGGCGATGGCCTCAGCCTAGGCCACGATGGCGAAGGCGCCCCGGGGTAGAGACTCGAGCACTCCGAGAGACCCCAGAATTGGCGGTGGCGGGCTGTGGGCCATTGGCAGGCCTACGACAACGGCCCGCCTAGTAGAGGCGGTTCATTATAGGATGCCCTAACTGCCTCCGCTGGCATGTACTAGCATTAGGATATCCCGAGATGTACTACAACCATTAGGGGGCAAAATTGTAATGAGTCATGGTAGCATATTGTGCCCTATAAATGGGGGGCACAAATGCTGTAAAGAGAGAGGTTGGTGAATACATTAATGAAACCCTAGCCCCTTTGGGGCCCGCTTCAGTGCTCCCATACCTTACCTTGGCTCTCGACCTTTGCCCAAGGCCATCACTTGGGTTGAGGACCCGCGTGTTCACCCCCGCTGGAAACTGATTTTCCAACAATTGGGAACGACCCGATTACAATATGCGGCGGCAAAAACTACTACCGACCCCGCTGCGGACGAAGACCGGAGAAGATCGGCAGCCCCCCACCCTACATGAAGTGGGCTGCCTTGCTAGAGTCCTTCCACCCTTGAAGAAGCAGTCACTCGGCGGACAACACCAAGCTTACTCGGGGGGAAGCGTCGCACTTCATCGCCACCGCCATCGTCGCCGAAGAAGATGGATTTGAGGAAGAAAAGAGGGGGCGGAGGAAGGTATTGAAGATGCCGCATCCCTTGGGGGCCTTCCTTTATATCCAAAGGTGGTGCGCTGTGAGCGGCTCTGAGCCCTCCGATCAGCCATCAGCGGCTACAAAGGACCCTTCGGAACCAGCTAGGCATCCCTTCAATCCCCGCAGCACGCCTCCGGGCGGTTGCGTGATGACAGCCACGCAGTAAAGGCGGAGTCAGGGACCCACTGGCAACGAGTCAAGTCCCCGCTCCACTATCCGCCGTGCGCGCCGCCCACTCCACGCACGCCTCCTCGTAGGACTTGGGGGCTCCGCCTCCTCCCGGGCCCACCGGCTATCATTAATGGCTCGGATCCACACGCACCAAGTGCCGCGGCTCCTCCTCCACCAGATCTGCTCCACGTGGCCCCGACGTCCCATCTCCCAGACGAGACGGGACGACGTGGGGGGGCGCGCACATCATAACTCCTCTACCAGGCATGACGGCCCAGATGCCATCAACCGCCTACGCAAGGCGTCAGCAGACGGGACGCACCTAGAAGCCGCCCCCTTCACTGGCAAGGAGGCCCCACAATGGCCTCGGGGGCTGCGCCGGCTCCCCAGATGGAGCAGCCTGACCTCCCGATCAACAGGTGCTCGGGTGGCGTATCCCCCAAAAACCAACCAACTCCCCGGAGTTGGGTCAGTGGGCCGCTGAACATCGCGCACACACCGTGGAGAGTGAGCAGCTGGCTTCTGCATGCCTTTTATAGGCTATCGGCGGTGGTTATGTGGATTGGACGCTGGAGATTTTCAGATATCTTGGTGGTAGGTGGGATGGAGGGCGGAGATTTTCACTGATCTTTAAGTGAACTGCCACTATAAAAGAAATGCACTGGCGGCTCACTTAATCGAGCCATGTAAATGTGTCATTTTGACTGGCGTCTGGCTTAACAGAACCGCCAGTGAAAATGCCATTTACACCAGCGGTTGTCATTACTCTACCGCTAGTGTAAATATTATATTTACAATGGCGGTCTTCATAGCCGAACCACAGGTGTAAATAGGTGTACATTGGCGGTTCGTAGCAAGGGCCCACCAATTTTACACTAGTGGCGCTAGCTCGTTATGAACCGCCAGTGAAAAAAATGGGTACCACCAAGAGAAATCATCGTTGTACTGGTGTGTCTTTTGTAACTTCTATGCAACACTTGTCATAGACATTTTCATGGGATTAGTGTAAGCATTCCACAAAAGTCTCCAGAAGTATCTTCTACATATCATAATTCCAAATAACATAAACCATAGCAGCCTTTTTTCCCTTTTCAGAGCTAAAAAAATTATAAACGAGATATTATTACGCCTCAGCACACACGCTGAATATTATTACGGCACCAGGAGCCCGAGATATTTCGTATACGGCTTGCTTTTTTTTTTTTTTTTTGACCTAGTACGGCCGGCTTACTTCCGGGCAGGGCGCCCAGCTGGACGGACGCTAAGCGCCAAGCCCCTGCGTTGTTTCCTGCACAAGTCTACGGAGCAAGCAATGCGCGCTGCAAGCTGATACACGGCTGCTCTCATCCTATCGTCGCTGATGCAAACGCATACGCATATATGTTGCCCACAGGCATATATATATGCGCTGCCGCACTGCACCAAGCTTCCAACACGATTTCCTTAAAAAAAAATCTTCCAACACGTAGGATACTACGATGCCTCGTGCCAGTACACTGCTGCTTCTGCTCCTCCTCGTCACTGTCTTTGCCGCGATCTTGATCGCCTCTGAATCCATCGGCGATGGAAGCCAGCAGGTCAGAAGGATCATCTATCCATCAGCATGCATGCAGATTTTGTTGCTGTCAATAGCTATAGCATGCGTGCTTGTAGCATGTTGTTGGTTGTGTCTTGTGTTCTTTTCTATCCAGGATCTGCATAGTAAATTTATCGCATCTTTTTTATCCTGATAAGCAGGTCTACATCGTGTACCTGGGGCATCTACCGGCCAGCATGGATGCGTCAGAACCTGAAGGTTTCTCTGCTGTAGAATTTGCTCATCACGACCTGTTGAATCAGGTCCTCGACGACGGCAGGTCGGAAACTCTCTTTTTTACCACAGAAGAGTAGTAATCCAGGCCTCTGTTTTTATATGGTCAGGCTATTAGTTGTCAAAGAAACGGATACGAGTGTCCCAACGGATTCGTCGATGCTCCCAAGAGCCAATAATGTTTGCTTCGAAAACGAAAGAAAACATAGACAAGATTGTCTTTATACAAGAGCCAATGCATTTTGTTTTTTGCAGCTCTGCTTCGGACAGGATTCTCCGTAGTTACAAGAGAAGCTTAAATGGCTTTGCCGCCAAGCTAAGCAAAGAAGAGGCAGATAAACTGTCTGGTTGGTGCAAAACATGCTCTTGTTTTCAATCATTTTCTTTTGTGATTGTGGATTGAGGTTTATTTGTGACCTGTATGTCACAAGGACGTAGAGACATCAATGCAAGATGAAGGGATCGCTGGATGAACCCAAACATATACATCAACTTTTAATTGATATATCAACGGTATGAATTGTAAAGCAAGCATCTCTCTTATATTTTTTTCCTTGTTACCTTTAGGCATGAATGGCGTTGTCTCGGTCTTCCCAAGTAGGACCCTCGATCTTTTGACCACAAGATCCTGGGACTTCCTTGGCTTCCCTCAAACGCCCATTGAAGAACTACGATTGGAGGGAGACGTCATCATTGGTATGCTCGACACCGGTATATGGCCTGACTCGCCATCCTTCTCCGACGAAGGCTTTGGCCCACCACCGAGCAAGTGGAAGGGTACATGCCACAACTTCACGTGCAACAAGTACGAAAACACCTTTCCTTTTAGTGTCTAGCTAGCTCAAATTAGTTGTTTGAGATATCCCTTATTTGCTAGTTACATTTCACATTGAGGCAAAAAATATCAATAGAAATGTTCCATTAAAGCAAAGAAAAACATGACACAGGCTCACTCTTTGACTATGGCGTGACATGCAGTAAAATCATCGGAGCACGCGCCTACGACGGAGGATCCAGCAGCTCTGGCCAGTCGCCACTGGACGAAGACGGTCACGGCAGCCACACGGCATCCACTGCGGCCGGGCGTGCGGTGGCCAACGCCAGCTTGTATGGCTTGGCTGCCGGCACAGCTCGTGGCGCTGTGCCTGGTGCCAGGCTCGCCATCTACAAGGTTTGCTGTGGCGAGGCCGACATCCTCGCGGGGTTCGACGACGCCATCGCCGACGGTGTGGACGTGATCTCCATCTCCATCGGGAGCCCCTTCGCGTTTGAGTACTTCAGCGACGTGATAGCCATCGGCTCCTTCCACGCCATGAGGCGTGGGGTGCTCACGTCCGCATCGGCCGGGAACTCGGGGCTGGACGGCTTAACCGTTTGCAACGTCGCGCCGTGGTTGCTGTCTGTGGCGGCGAGCAGCATCGATCGCCGATTCATCGACAAGATTGTTCTTGGCAACGGCAAGACCATAGTGGTCAGTGCTGAAATCAACATGTTCATGTGACCTCTCCCTCTAATACTAGAACTTTTTTTTTTTCTTCACTGAAATGAATATGTACTGTACCAACCATGCATTACATTGTGTTCTGCTTTTGCAGGGAGACTCCATTAACACCTTCCCAAAGCTGTCAAATGCCACGCTTGCAATCCCCGCCAACGGGTAAGAAGATGATGAGAATGCATGAGTCAATGGCAACACGATAGGCATTTCGAAAACTGGAATTTTGCAGCATTTCATATCAATCAGTTGGATGGCCGCAAAACTCTTGAAAACAAACACCAAGAATTATATATTCTGAGTGGGACCAGCCACTGGCAAGTAGTACGTTCGTGTTTATGGTTTCTTGCTACACGTGTAGGTCCTGTGATCCAGATAACCTCGCCGGAGGTTCATACACAGGCAAGATCGTCCTCTGCCAGAGGGCCGTGGAAAACGACGGCTCGGGTCCTCTCTTGGTCGGTGCAGCAGGCGTAGTCATAGTCAGCGGAATACCCGATGTGGCCTTTACTCTGCCTCTCCCCGGTCTGACGGTAACTAGGGATGACTTCAACCAAATCATGGCCTATGTCAACAGTACAAGGTGAGTGAGTTCACTGACCACATACTTTCTTGCATTCGTGTTCGATTGTCTGATATTCGAGTATGTTCTGCAGTAATCCTGTGGGTACCATAGACACCACCGAGACAACAGTCAATCCACAAGCTCCGGTAGCCGCCTCGTTCTCTTCTCCAGGCCCCAACGTGGTCACCCCTGATATCTTGAAGGTGAGTGCCTGCCTGACAGTGTTCACGATCATCTGCCGTCATTGCAAATTAAAAATGTCACACGTACAGAAATTAATTTGTACAACACTCAAATTAATGCAGCCTGATCTGTCTGCACCGGGGATTGACATCATAGCCTCATGGTCGCTGCTGTCATCGCCTACGGGCATTGCCAACGACACAAGGAAGGTTCAGTACAACATCATCTCCGGCACATCCATGGCATGCCCACACGCGAGCGGAGCCGCTGCATACGTCAAGTCATTCCACCGTGACTGGTCACCGGCGATGATCATGTCGGCTCTCATCACCACCGGTATGGTGTAGAGTTCTGTGTCATTTTTACTAAGCTAATTTGTTCATCTCGGTAAACAATTTGCAGTAATATATGGCAATGCATGATGCTCATTGTCACGCAGCCACTCCGATGGACACTCCGGCCAACTCCAACACCAGCGCCCTCAAGTACGGCGCCGGGCAGCTCAACCCAGTAAAGGCGCATGACCCAGGACTCGTGTACGACGCATCGGAGAGCGACTACGTGGCTATGCTGTGCGCGCAGGGCTACAACGCCACGCAGCTCGCGCTCATCACCGGCTCCAACACCACGGCTTGCAACAACAGCTCGATGTCCAGCTCTCCCCGCGACCTCAACTACCCGACCATGGCGGCCAGTGTGGAGCCGGGGAAGAACTTCACCGTGGTCTTCCCGCGGACCGTCACTAACGTCGGGGCCGCAAGCGCCGTTTACGACCTCAGGTTCGAGTTTCCTATTGATCAGGCGGACAATGTCCTCACTGCTGAAGTTTCACCGAGCGAGCTAGAGTTTAGCGAGCAGAACCAGAAGGTCTCATTCACGGTGACCGTGTCCGGCGTGGCGCCGGAGGAGGGCCAGGTCTACTCTTTCACCATCGTGTGGTACAACAACGAACATAAGGTGAGCAGCCCAGTGGTGGTGTACACAATGAGACAGTGAAGGAGGCGCCATGCAACGCTTGTGTTTTGTGCAATGGTTCAAGAGTTAAGCTTCCTTGTTTTGGCCTGGAATAATAAATACATAAACTTGTCAAATCCCTAGATAACCGTAGCTTTTAGTACCATCTTTTGTAGAAGAGGTAAGAGAGGCTACCTTATAATTGAACCATATCCGGCCTGCATTGATCCCTAAGAGAGTTCTATCAAGTTTTGTTGGCATGTGCTAAAAGATGATGGTGTGGCAATGTTTGAGAAGTTTCATATGGGCAGTTCACTATGTAGCCTCCATTTTGGCACAATAACTCTACTACCAATTAAAGAATAATGACACGTAGCAAATCCGGCAATGCAGACCTATATATTTGTTGAATGTGTACTTCAAATATTATATTCCAAAGCAGGTAGGCACTAATAAACTCATGAAGGCTACTCAACAAATTACGAAACTCTCCCAGGTAGCGTTCCTACTAGGGAGAAATAACATCGAGGGCACCATTTTCTTGTATGAAATAATACATACAAAATACAAATTGGTTTTTCGGATTGACATTGAAGTTTATGTGAATTCCTACACAACAAGCTCTAAAAATGAAGGGGGTTTTATCATATTTTTGGTGCGAGTGGGTTAAATCATTTGTTCAAGGAGACACTGTAGGGATAAAGGAGGAATGGTTTATTGCGATCGTATCTTCGGAACAAGAAAGTCCTAAGACAAGGTGACCCACTATCCCCCATAATATTCAATATAGTAGGGGATATGTTCAGTGGTGGATCTGAAAAAATAAGTTAGGAGGTGCTTCTTCCGTTATCTTCCATCTCTAGCCCCTCCTCCTAAGCTTCCATGGGTACCAATCTGTAGGAGATCGAGGCTCCATGCTTCGAGTAATGATAGTACGGGCTCAACCCACCCCCACCGGTGCTAAATCCATCCCAAGATATGTTGGCAATCATTTTGGCTAGATCCAAGGGAGAGTCCAGGGAAAGTGGTAGTTCCTCGTTTAATTAGAGATGGGTGTTGGTATTTCTTAGCGCAATCACCAAGTATAGAGGTTTGAAGTCCATCACCGGTAACGGAGCCGGAAATACCTTTTGATATTTCTTAGCCCATCACTAAGATTAATTAAACCTTAGCGACACCGCCAAGAAACACCAATTACGATAGTTCTTAACGATTACAGAAAATATCCGTAAATGCATGGATCTATTGTTGTAGCATTTCACCCGAAAGTATTCAGGGTATCGTTATTTATATTTTTTCAAAGGAGGGCAAGGTGTAAGAGTCTAGCATGAGCATGAACAAGATTACATACTTGCTTTAGTAAACCAACATTTCATGACAGCGGTAAAAACGGTAGTTCAAGGATAGTGCACACACATCTGAGCCAACTTCAAGGATAAAAGGAAAACAAAGAATAAAATAATATTCCTAAGTGGAACCGGCATGGTTAGTTAAGAATATTAAAGTTTGAGTCAATAAATAAATAGTTGGGTTTGGTACTTCTTGTTCTCTTGAATCTGTTTTTTTGAGCAGTCTGCCCTTATCTCAATGCCCATCTAAATCTACTCGACCAAAAAGTATGAACTTTTTATGGGAAAAACTAGACTTAATTATCCTTCTAATGCCTCTAGAACCACCCCAATATCTAATATGGTTTGAGAAATATAGTTGTTTCTAGGTGAAGTTTCTGCGCAGTCTGGAATCTGGAATAGTCTCGGTTGTGTCCTATTTTTGCTTAACATAACGACAGAATCTGGGCATGTGATCTGAATAAAAGTTGTAGATAATTTCTTAAGATTTCCAACCATGTAAAGAACGCCTATTTTGGATATCTAAAACTTCGAGATATGACTGTTTTACCGAGCTACTGATGTTGGAACTCATCGAAAAAAAATTCAGAATGTATTCTATATCTCTATAAGTGTCTATGACTTGGAAATCTCTAAATTTTGAATATTTGTGTTGGATGTCAGATGTACGGAAGAGGAAGAGGCCGAGGTCATGGAGGTGTTCCCCCACATCCACCAGCACCACTGCCACTGACTATTGAGCAGCTTCTGGCAGTACAGACACAGCTTATGCAAGCTCTGGTGCAGAATCAACCAATTGGTGGAGCACCACGTGACAAGCGTAGTGAATTCTTGAAGGTCCCCCCCCTGGTGTTTTCACATGCCACTGATCCCCTATAAGCAAGCAGATGATTGGCTTCGTGCAGTGGAAAAGCAACTCAACATAGCGTAGTACGACTACCAGAGTCAGGACAACTCCAGGGAGAAGCTCAAGACTGGTGGGAGGCATTCGAGTATTGATGTCCCACTAATGCTCCTCCTATCACCTGGCAGAAATTTAGAGAGAATTTTAGATCTTACCATATACCTGAAGGATTGATAGAGCTGAAGCAGGAGGAATTTCGGGCTCTGAAATAGGGATTTATGTCTGTAGCTGAGTATCGTGATAAATTCGCTCATTTGTCACGTTACACTCTGAAGGAGGTGGCTGATGATGCTGATAAGCAACGCCGCTTTCTCAAGGGTTTGTATGATGGTCTGCAACTTTAGCTTATGTCCAATACATACCCCAATTTTCAGACGTTAGTGAATCGCGCTATTGTTATTAACAATAAGCGCAAAGAGATGGAGGCCAAGAAGAGGAGGCTTCAGGGATAGGCCTCTAGGAGTAATACTCATCTGCGCACCAATCCGCAGCAAAGCTTCCAGCAGAGGCACCCGGGGCCACCTAACCAGTGGAATCGCAACCTGAACCAGCAGCGTCCACCGTACCAGCAGCAGAATGGCAATCAATGCCCTCAACAGCAGAATGGCTAGCAGACACCACGACAGGGAGCGCCAAACAACACCCCATGAAGACCAGTGCCCCTAGCACTCCCAATAAGTGTTTTTCGTTATGGAAAAGAGGGTCACCTGTCATATAACTTCCCTGAGAAGCCAAACCAGCAGACCCCACAGAGGTAGAATAGTTATCAGAAGCCTGCACCCAACACAGGAAAGGTGAATCATGTGTCTATAGAGACGGCGCTTGCGGAACCGTCAATTCCACTCCTGCCACTGTTCTTTTTTATTCCGGAGCTTCGCATTCTTTCATATCACAATCATTTGTTAGAATGCATAGCATACCCTTATGTGCCATGAAAGATCCCATATTAGTAAACTCACCAGGAGGTAGTATGCAAGCTTCTTATCATTGTCTTCCAACTAGTCTATCCATAAGGGGGTAGAGTTCAAAGTGAACCCCATTGTGTTGAGGACATCTGGCATTGATGTGATTCTGGGTATGGATTGGATGATGCAACAACAAGCAGTGATTCAGTGTTAGGAGAAGGTAGTTGTTGTGACCACACCGAATGGGGACAGAATTAGTGTCGATGTTGTAGTGCAGAAGCAGCTGGCAGCCACAGTGAACCAGCTTGATGATCGCGTCAACAAGGAGGACTTAGTAGTGGATGAGTTTCTAGATGTGTTCCGCGATTACTTGCTAGGTATGCCACCTGATCGTGACATTGAGTTTATTATTGAATTATTACCTAGAATTGCACCTATAGCTAAGCGTCCATATAGAATGGGGGTTAATGAATTAGAGGAACTTAAGAAACAAATAAAAGAGTTATAAGAGAAAGGTTTCATTCGTCCTAGGTTGTCACCTTGGGGAGCACCGGTTATATTTTTTTATAAGAAGGATGGTACACAGAGGATATGTGTGTTGATTATCGGTCACTAAATGAGGTTACTATCAAGAACAAGTACCCGCTACCTAGAATTGATGACTTGTTTGATCAGTTGAGAGGTGCTTGTGTTTTCTCTAAGATTGATCTTTGTTCTGATTATCATCAGTTGAAGATTCGTGCAACTGACATACCCAAGACAGCTTTTACTACGAAGTATGGTTTGTATGAGTACACCATTATGTCCTTTGGTTTGACCAATGCACCTACATACTTTATGTACTTTATGAATAAGGTGTTCATGGAGTTTTTGGATAAGTTTGTGGTGGTATTTATCGATGATATATTGGTATTCTCCAAAATGGAAGAAAAGCACGCTGAACATCTAAGGTTGGTCTTGTAAAAGCTCAGGGAACACAAGTTGTATGCTAAGCAAAGCAGGTGTGAGTTTTGGTTGAAGAAGTTTCTTTCCTAGGCCATGTTGTCTCTAATGGTGGAATAGCAGTAGATCCCCAAGGTGAGAGATGTGTTGAATTGGAAACCACCAACCAATGTGGGAGAGATTCATAGTTTCTTGGGATTGGCTGGATACTACAGAAGGTTCATAGAAGGGTTTTCTAAACTTGCCAAGCCTATGACAGCTCTGTTGGAGAAAAATGCTAAGTTTGTGTGGTCCGAGAAGTGCCAGGCTAGCTTTGAAGAATTGAAGAAGAGGTTGACTACCGCCCCAGTATTGGTTTTGCCAGATTTGAGCAAAAACTTTTCTATCTATTGTGATGCATCTCGTCAAGGTCTCGTAGGTGTTCTTATGCAAGAAGGAAGAGTAGTGGCTTATGCATCCCGACAGTTGAGAAAGCATGAGCTAAACTAGCCTACTCATGATTTGGAGTTAGTAGCAGTGGTTCATGCTCTGAAAATATGGAGGCACTATCTTATCGGACATAAGAGTGATATCTATATTGATCATAAGAGTTTGAAGTACATTTTCACTCAGACAGATCTAAATATTAGACAGCGTCGATGGTTGGAGTTGATTAAGGATTACGATCTGGAAGTACACTATCATCCTAGAAAGGCGAACGTTGTTGCCAATGCTCTTAGGAGGAAGAGTTATGCCAATGAAGTGCAAGTGATGGCTATGGCAAGTGAGTTGTGTGCTGAACTTAAGCAACTAAACTTGGGTTTCGTCACTAATGTAGTAGAGTTGGTGATAGAGCCTACATTGGAGCTAGAGATACGCAAGGGCCAGTTACAGGATAAGAGGTTAAAGGAGATAGCGGAGAACATAGTGATTGGTAAGGCACCAGGTTTCCATATGGATGATAATAGAACTCTTTGGTTTGGGAAAAGACTATGTGTGCCTAATAATAAGGCTATACGAGATGCAATTCTTCGTGAGACACATGAGTCTGCTTACTCTATTCATCCCGAGAGTGCCAAGATATACTTGGATCTGAAGGAGAAGTATTGGTGGTATGGACTTAAGAGGGATGTGGCTGAATATGTTGCTTTATGTGATACATGTCAGAGAGTCAAAGCTGAACATCAAAGACCTGCAGGATTATTACAACCAGTGAAGATAACTGAGTGGAAGTGGGAAGAAGTTGGTATGAATTTTATTGTTGGGTTACCACGCACTCAGGGAAGTTATGATTCAATATGGGTGATAGTGGATCGGTTAACTAAAGTTGCTCACTTTATACTGGTCAAGACTACTTATAATGGACCGAAGTTGGCCCAATTATATATGGAGAAGATAGTGTGTCTACATGGAGTTTCCAAGAAAATTGTGTCTGATCGGGGTACTCAATTTACATCTCATTTTTTGCAGCAAGTACATAGTTCGTTGGGAATAAAGTTGAATTTTAGTACAGCATATCATCCTCAGATAGATGGACAAACTGAGAGAACTAATCAGATTTTAGAGGACATGTTGAGCGCTTGTGCATTGCAGTACGGTACAAGTTGGGACAATAGTTTGCTTTATGCAGAGTTCTCGTATAACAACAATTATCAAAAGAGTCTCAATATAGCACATTTCGAAGCTTTGTATGGACGAAAGTGTAGAACCCCGTTGTTTTGGAATCAAACGGGAGAAACTCAAGTGTTCGGACCAGATGTTTTAAGAGACACAGAAGAGCAAGTAAGGATGATTAGGGATAACTTGAGAGTGGCACAGTCTCGACAGAAGAGTTATGCCGACATTAGGAGAAGAGAATTGGTTTTCAAAATAAGAGATTATGTTTACCTGAAGGTGTCACCAATGAGAAGTGTGAGAAGGTTTAGCATGAAAGGAAAGTTAGCATCAAGGTATATTGGGCCTTTCAAGATCTTAGAGAGACGTGGAGAAGTAGTTTATCAGTTGAAATTATCTGAGAGTTTGTCAGGTGTACATGATGTGTTCCATGTGTCTCAATTAAAGAAGTGTTTGCGTGTACCAGAGGAGCAGATACCATTAGAGGAGCTTACAGTTAAGGAAGATCTTACATATGAGGAATATCCGGTAAAGATTTTGGAGACAGCAGAAAGGGTTACGAGGAGCCGAATTATAAAGATGTGTAAGGTTCAGTGGAATCGGTATACAGAAGATGAGGCTACTTGGGAAAGAGAAGAGGATTTGAGGAAAACATACCTGCAGCTTTTTGAGTAAGCATCGTCCGAATCTCGAGGACGAGATTCATTTTAAGGGGGGTAGAATTGTAACACCCTAAAATGTGCATGGTTTTAAAATAGGAGAAAATGATTTAATTATGCATTTTGTGATCATTTAAATTTAGAAAAATAATAACTTTGTTAAAAATAAAATCAAATATAGGTCTACATACATGTATGTGCATACATGTTGCTGCATATTTATTTTGTGATGCTTTGGTTTGATTGAAATTTGCAAAAGAATTGAATTTGAGTTTAAATTGGATTGAAAATGTGATAAGAATAATAGGAAAAAGGATTTGATTCTTCCTTTCTCGGCTTTTGGCCCGAGCAGCCCAGCTCGACTTGGCTTCCGTCACAGGCCATTTTCCCCCGCCGGCCCAGCAGGCCGCGCTCTTTCACCTCTCGCTGATGCGCTAGGTCCGTGTGTCAGTCGCGCCGTCATCTCCTACCTTCCGCTCGTGTCCGAGCCGGACACCGAGCTTGTCTCCGCCTTCACTACGCCGCGTCTGGTGTGACCCACTCATAAATAGCGTCCCTGTGTTGTGCCGCCCTCACCTAACCCTAAAGCGCTAACTGCCGCCCTCGCATTGCTCCAGCCGTCGCAACCCTAAGAGCCCCCCGACATCCCGTCCGCCCCATGGAGCCGCACGCCGCCGTAGGTCCGCCCTCGTCCACGTAAAGCTCCTAGGTGAGTTCGCCGCCATCTCTCTCTCTCTCTCCCGTGGTCTTCTCGTGTTCGTTGATGGCTAGAATCATTGTATCGACGAACTCGGGCGAGGTCCGGACGAGTCCGGCAATGGCGCCGCCGCCTATCTCGCCGACGACGCTCTCTCTCTCTCTCTCCCGTCCAATCCGAGCCGTCCTGATTCAATCCAACGCTCCCAAACAGACCATACCGGTTCGGCCGGAATATTTGCAAAAGAGACCCCCTCCTATTCCCTAATCTAACCTGCAGTCCAAAGTGTGTTTACCAAATACGTCTTCTTTATTTAAAAGCGTATTTTCTTTCGGTTTAGATTCAAAATACGTTTTTCATCTATTTACAGTTTTGCCACTAGTTTCCATAGGCCATAACTTTCACGTTTTAACTCCGATTTGATCCGTTCAACTTACGTTAGATTCGTAATTGAGTAATCTACATGTTCATCCTACTATTAAGTATGTTTTCAACTTTTAAAATTTGAGGTTAGATTTAATCTATTATTTCAATAAAGGAAATCTTCGCGTCTGTGTGTTCATAGCGACACGTAGATTCGTTTTACAAACTTTTCATCTTGATTTTATGCTGATTGGTGTACTATTCTAATCTATAGCTTTTGTTGCTATGCATGATTTTTTCTGGATGCTTGTATGTCGCTGTGATTATCAAGTATAGACGGTGAACAATTCGTGGGTGATCAAGAATAGGATCAGCAGGAACAATTTGTTCAAGGCAAGTATAGCATAGGATTATCCTTGTTTCCTATCAACTTTAACACATTTAATTCATATTTATGTGTGTCACCTTGATAGGGATTCTCTAGAATTGAACTGATACCTTGTCTCCTATGGGTATGCATTGGGTAGCTTTGCTAGTGATCAACTAAACCATGATTTTGTAACTTGACTAATGGTATATGCAATAAACATTAAAACATGATTTTTTAGCAACTTGGAAATAGGGGGCTGAAGTGTTTAGCTACTTTCTAAATGTTTTAAATTCCTCTTCCTAATGACTTATCTGTAAGTGATCATCTGGGACTTACAGTACAGCTGTGAGGACCATATGGCTCTGGTTTTAGCTCAGTATGAGGACCTGTTCTAACTTGTTAGAGGTTATCTTTATTGGCGTAAGAATGGCTCGACGAATTGGGTATAGTGCGGCCTCTGTCCCCTTGAGTATAAGCTGCGCGTCATTGTGCCATCGGGAAGGGGGGCTCTACATCTGTTTGCCGAGTGAATCTAATAGCCCTAACTTATTAGATGAACCTTTGAAAGGCTTCATAGTGAACCCTACCTACTCACCTTGGAAGTGTTTTGGGAGTTATAAACCCGGGCATATGGGTATCACGACTCACAGTGAAAGTGTACAACCTCTGCAGAGTGTAAAACTGGTATATCAGCCGTGCTCACGATCACGAGCGGCCTTGGAACCCTTATGGAATAGATGATCACTAAAAATTATCCGTTTATGCTATTCATTATTAATGTTTACATTGATCATGTGTTTACTATGGGATTAAAACAACTTGTTGCTACTCTTATACTAAAATTGTGACAACTAAAAGCTAAATGTTGTTAAAGCTATGTCAAGCCTTTTGAGCCTCATGAACCCCATGTTACACTTGTTAAGTACGACACGTACTTATGCTTGTTTATTTTTATTATTTGGATAAAAATCTCGGATAGGTAACAGATGGTTATGATAATGACGACTTTCCTGATGATTACTAGACTTGTGGTCAACCAGTTGACGTCCCTGTGATATGGAGCTTCGTGAGAGATTTTTCTTTATACTTCCGTTATATCTATGTGAAGACTATGTCTTATTATTCGTGATATAATAAACACTTATGATGATACTATTCATAATTTGTTGACTTATGTGTGTGACTGATCTCTGTGCGTACATAAAATTATGCATCTCATTTTATCCTTAAAATCGGGTGTGACAAAGGCTCATCTATATTGTACGGTGTGATGACCCCATACACAATGAGATAGCACGAGGTGACAGGAGGAGAGAAAAATATAGAAAAGTGGGGACCATGAAGAAATAAAAAACATATAGAAGATTTGATGAGACTAATAAATATTTGTGATTGTATAGCTTAATTGGCTACACATTGCTTAGAACAGGTATAAGTATAACAATAATAGCCGAACACATACACATCAGCTAAACTTGGAAGAGAAAAGTGGTGAGACTAATTAATACTTCCGTCATAAGAAACCCAATGCAAGGTACGCTAAACTTGTTTGACCATGCCATTTCAGCAAAACGTGGAAATTTTAGCCCAAGCGAATGATCCACTCAAGTGTCCCCGAACTCACCGTCAGACTGAGACAAGACACCAAACATGGTGCGGTGGAAGCGAGGCGAATATGCAGATCCGGCTCCATTATATGGAGTTGTATGAGTGGAATTTATCCAAGGAACAACAGCCCTACCGGTTCTACGCATCTTCCATACAAAAACAGCCTCACGCGCGTGCACACATCCAATCCAGGATCCACGTACGCTGCGTCGCTGCCAAACTTGGAAGCACACACACGTAGGATGGGCACCGTTTTCAAGGCGCTTGCCGCCTGCTTCTTCTTCCTCGGGAGCTTGCATGCTTCAGAGGTCATCAGCAGCGATGGCGATGAAAGGCAGAAGCAGGTCAGTACGATCCCAGAGACGATCTCGTGCGATCATCACTCACAACTCCTGCGTACAGTACGTGTGCGAGCCCTGATTGTGTACGTGTACGTGTGCAGGTGTACATCGTGTACATGGGGCATCAGCCGCATGAGCCGTCAGAGTTGGCAGGTGGTGGTTTCTCTGCACCAAAAGCTGCTCATCACGGGCTGCTCAACCAGGTCCTCCATGATGGCAGGTCAGGCGATTGTTATTCAGTGATAAGCTTCCTGTTCAAGAAGCCGTTTTTCAATCTCAAAAAAAAAAAGAAAAACTGACTTTGTACACGCCATGCTGCAGCGACGCTATGGACAGGATCATCTACAGCTACACTAGGAGCATCAATGGATTCGCAGCCAGGCTGACCGAGGAGGAGAAACAGAAGCTGTCCGGTACGGATGGTGTAGTGTCCGTCTTCCCAAGCCGGACGTACCAACTCCAGACCACGAGATCATGGGACTTCCTCGGCTTCCCCGAGACGGCGCGCCGGAGCCTGCCTACGGAGGCGGAGGTCATCGTCGGCATGATCGACACCGGCGTGTGGCCGAACTCCCCGTCCTTCTCCGACGAGGGCTTCGGCCCGCCGCCGAGCCGGTGGAAGGGCGCCTGCCAAAACTTCACCTGCAACAAGTACGTTCGCGTTTTATGTCCACCGCGTCGTGTTCTTATTGTTCCACTGCTGGTTGGTTGACACTTGAGTACTTGACACTTGACAGCAAGATCATTGGCGCACGCGCGTACAGGCAAGGCTACACGGGCCTGTCGCCCGTGGACACCGCCGGCCACGGCACCCACACGGCGTCGACGGTGGCCGGGCGGGTGGTGGAGAACGTCGGCCTCGCCGGGCTGGCCGCCGGCTCGGCGCGCGGCGCGGTGCCGGGCGCCAGGCTCGCGGTGTACAAGGCGTGCTGGGACGACTTCTGCCGCAGCGAGGACATGCTGGCGGCGTTCGACGACGCCGTCGCCGACGGCGTCGACCTCATCTCCTTCTCCATCGCGCGCACGCTCCCGCTGCCCTACTTCGAGGACGTGGTGGCCATCGGGGCGTTCCACGCAATGAGGCGTGGGGTGCTCACCTCCGCGGCGGCCGGCAACTCCGCGCTTGACGGAGGCCGCGTCGACAATGTCGCGCCGTGGATCCTCTCCGTCGCTGCCAGCAGCACCGATCGCCGGCTCGTGGGGAAGCTTGTCCTCGGCAACGGCAAGACCATTGTGGTGAGAGCCTTATATTGATCATGCACTGATCTGATCCTTGGGAAATCGTTGCGTAACATGAAATTCTTTGTGATGGTGATCGTGTTCTTGTGTGGCACAGGGAGCCTCCATTAACATCTTCCCCAAACTAAAGAAAGCCCCGCTCGCCCTCCCGATGAACATCAACGGGTACGCAACGTCGTCCAAAAATATTCTTCTTTGAAGCCGTCTTTGTGTTAATGGTTCCAGATTTCATATTTTTTCATGAACTTTGCTGCATTGCATGCAGCTCCTGTGAACCGGAGTCACTGGCCGGACAATCATACAAGGGGAAGATCCTTCTCTGCGCGAGTGCAGGCGACGGCACGGGCCCTCTCCTCGCTGGCGCCGCCGGCGCAGTCATCGTCACCGCGCAGCCCGACATCGCCTTCCTGCTGCCCCTCCCTGCGCTGAAGATCACCGGGGACCAATTCACCGAAATCATGGCCTACGTCAACGAGACACGGTGCGATCGACTAAGCTCGATTCCCGCAGCGCAGGCAACAAGATTCTGTGGCATTTGACATGCTGAACAATGCTTTCTGTGTTCTGTTCTGCAGCCATCCTGTGGGCACGATACACAGCACCGAAACGGCCTTCGACTCCAAGGCGCCCATCGTCGCCTCCTTCTCATCCAGAGGGCCAAACTTGATCAGCCCAAGGATTCTCAAGGTTGAGCAGTAAATCAGAATCATTAACCACTAATACTGATGGTGTAGCCCATAAGTGTTGTGTTTTGTTTACCACTAAAACCTGCAGCCCGACCTGGCCGCGCCGGGGATCGACATCCTGGCAGCATGGACGCCGCTGTCGCCGGTGTTCGGGAACCTCAAGGACAACAGGTTCGCGGCATACAGCATCGACTCAGGCACGTCCATGGCGTGCCCCCACGCCACTGGCGTCGCGGCGTACGTCAAGTCCTTCCACCGCGACTGGTCGCCGGCGATGATCATGTCAGCTCTCATCACCACAGGTAACTAACTTTTATCGATCGACTCCTCAGCCACACACGTACTAGTCACCGTCACCGTTGCAACTGAACTAACCGGCCGATCGCGACGCCTGCCTGCCCTGCGTGAACGAAGCTACGCCGATGGACCCGTCGCGCAACCCAGGCGGCGGCGAGCTCGTCTACGGCGCGGGGCAGCTCAACCCGTCGCAGGCGCGCGCCCCCGGCCTCGTGTACGACGCGCGCGAGGACGACTACGTCCGCATGCTGTGCGCGGAGGGGTACAACTCCACGCAGCTCCGGGTCGTCACCGGATCCAACGCCACGGCCTGCCCGGCCCGAGGCAAACGGCGGCAAAAGGGGTACCACCGCCGACCTCAACTACCCGACGATGGCGCACCACGCCAAGCCGGGTAAGAACTTCACCGTCCACTTCCCGCGCACCGTCACCAACGTCGGGGCGCCGTGCTCCGTGTACACCGCCAAGATCGCCGGCTTGGGGCCATACGTCAGAGTCGCCGTCAAGCCGAGGAAGCTGGCGTTCAGCAGGCTGCTTCAGAGGTTGTCGTTCACCGTGACGGTCTCCGGCGCCCTGCCGGATGCGAACGAGTTCGTGTCGGCTGCTGTCGTGTGGTCTGATGGTGTGCGTCAGGTTAGGAGTCCGATTATTGTGCACACGGTTGATGTTGAGTACACACCAAATTGAGGACACTGCTCTGCTCAGGACACTAATGTTGCAACAGCTAGCAAAATAATGCTGGGAACGACACGGCATATCTGTCGTCGGATGAATTCGTCAATCCCCAGATATGCCAACAATACAGGCGACGGTAATTCTTGGAGTGCCAAGATTTCAAATTGCAATGCGTGTGAAGAATTGATCCACTGGAATACATTGAGTTCGAGTTACTATGTTAGATCAAAGAAAAACGCTCAAATGAGCTTCTATAATCAGTAACATGGTGAACAAAACCATCTAATTCACAACTTACTAAACAGCAACCAGTCAATCTTCTCCCGGCTTAAAGATGAAGATCAAGGTAACCGTCAGCACTTAAAATGGCACTCACCTCCAGATAGCATCACAGGTCATCATGGTTCAAGGATCACCAGTAGTCTTTGCAAGAACATGATCCATCCTTGAAGTGATGGAATTGAATCCGATCCCTCACAAGCATGATCTCTCCAGAATTTGTCCAGATAGCATCACGGGTCATCATAGCTCAAGGATCACCAGTAATCTTTGCAAGAACATGATCCATCTCTAAGTGTTCTTCAGAATCCTCACAATGATTTCAACAGGTGTAGCTTGAGTAGAGCCTGAAAGGATATGGTCTTTAACACTCTAAGGTTCTTCAGAATCCTAATGGGTGCCCCAGGTGTCGCGTTGAGTAGGCCAAAGGATATGGCTAACCGTTCACTGTGCAAACGCAGGGTGGCGCCCTTGGTGCGGTCGATGTCGGCGACCATAGGCGCCTCCGACAAGTCCGGCTTGTATCCAGCAGACGTGAGCCTCTGCTGAATCTCATCCAGCTTCTCATATATCTCTTCCGACTGAGGATGTGAAGTGTCACCCGCGACAAACTGGTGCACCGATCCATCCATTTCAATGGAGCTGAACCCCGGCTCCTTCTTGAAACCCTCTTCACTCATCAACTGCCGGATCATGCCCACATCGTTCCACCGCTGCGCAGACGCATAGACCCTTGAGAGCAGGACATAGACGCCGCTCACAGCATCATCAGGGACATCAAGTGCCAGCTTGGCCATGGCCTCACTGAGCTCCAGCCCAGCATTCCTCTTGCAGCATGCATCGAGCAGGCTCCTCCAGATGATGGAATCTGGCCGGCAGTTCATCCCGGCCACGACATCGAGTGCCTCCTCGATGAACCCCGCCCGTGCAAGGATGTCCACCATGCACCCGTAGTGCTCGATCCTCGGCCTGATCCCGTACTCGCTGACCATGGCAGCAAAGTACCTCCTACCTTCCTCCACCAGCCCGCCGTGGTTGCAGGCACTGAGCACCGCGACGAACGTGATCGCGTTTGGCACCACGTTCTCCACCCTCGTCATCCGGTCGAACAGGTCAAGCGAGTCCCGGACGCGTCCGTGGTTGGCGAGCGCGAGGACCATGGCGTTCCAGGACGCGAGGTCCCGCTCGGGCATCCGGTCGAACACCTGGCGCGCGAGCTCCACCGCGCCGCACTTGCCGTAGAGATCAACGAGCGAGTTGCTGATGAGCACGTCGCGCGACACCGCCGCCGAGGAGGCGTGCCCGCCGAGCTCCCGGAGCAGCAGCGCGTGCGCGTAGAGCCCGAGCGAGAGCGCGCCGGCGGCGGCGCAGGCGCCGAGCAGGCTCTGCAACGTGTATGCGTCGGGCGCGAGGTCGGGCCTGTCGCGCTGCATCTCCCGGAACAGGTCGAGCGCCGCGAGGTGGTCCCCGTTGCCCGCGAGCGCGTCGACGGCGGTGTTCCACGACACGAGCGACCGGTGCCGGTCCGGGACCCCGCGGAAGACGGCGAGCGCGGCGCCCGGGCGGCCGCAGGAGGCGTAGAGGTGGACGAGGGAGTTGGCGACGACGACGGTGTTGTGCGCGGGTGCGAGGAGGGCCAGCTTGGCGGCGAGCGCGTGTAGCTGGCGGCCCTCCGGGAGCGCGGCGAGGAAGGCGGCGGCGGAGAGCGCGGCGGGCAGCGAGTACCGCGGCGGCGGCGGGGACGCGGAGGCGTGGAGCGTGCGGAAGAGGAGCAGCGCCCGGTGGGACAGGTCCGCGCGCCGCGCGCGCGCGAGGGAGCGGAGGAGGTTGACGGCGGAGCGGGCGTCGGCGGGGGTGACCCACGGAGGGGCGGAGGGGAGGGAGGAGGCTGACGCGGCGAGGGGGGCCATGGTGGAGGATGAGGAGGCGTGGCGCGGCGCATGGTGCGCGCCGGGGTCCGGGGAGTGGGAGAGCAGTGGATATGGTGGGGAGCGTTGTTGTGTGGACGGCAGCGCACGTTCGGAGATTTTGGCCCCGGGGCACGGAAGAGAATATGAGCCCGGCCCATGAAGCCGTGCACTGGCAGGCTGGAAGCACGGCCGTGGCGACCCATCCACTCCAAGCAGGCGCGGGGCTTCCTTGCAACTTTGCTGCATGGGCTGGTTGCTCATGCCCGGGCCCGGCCCAGACCATGGGGTTTCCTCCCGGTCGGTACCGGCAGCGCGCTGAATGCACCTGACTGATCTGCAGTTTGCAGCTGACAAAATTACCGCAGCAGGTCTCGAGCATGTGCCCTGCCGTCCAACCCTGGGGCGCGGCAGTCCTGCTTACCGTGCCTGCTGAGTTCTGAATTGCTGATACCAACGATGCTGGACGGCCATTACAGCCACCAAGAGCAAAGAATTAGCATGTGGATCACCAGCACCAGATACCATCAGGCCATTTAACAACTGGGCAGGCACTTCTTATAAAAAAACAACACCCACATGCCAAGATCCCAGCCAGACCCTGCATTGCAGCGACCAATGAATGAATGCCGCCTCGGCCTCGCACCAAGATACCGTTTCTCAGGCATGTGAGCGACTGATGCTGTCCATGCCGCAACGGTAACACTGCACATGCTCTGATGCTCATCACAAGCCTATGCTATTGCTACCACTTCAGATTTAGAAATCATCAGGAATAACAAAACCAGCAGCATCAAAACACGCAGAGCAGAATCAGGGAGCAAAGGATAATAATAATAATAATATAACAAGCAAAAATGTACTATATCATCATCATCATCATCATCATCTACTAAGGGCTACAGAGTATATCTCATCTCAATCCCAATGCCTGCCGGGGGTGGTTAATGGACAACAGCATAGAATAAGGGTGAGGCAAAAGGCTATGGCGATGGTGCACCACACCGACATCATAAACCGATTTTTTATTTTTTACTCTTTTTTCGAAAGATATTCACATTTAGATCCTTGAAGATTTTTTTTCATTTTCTAGACCCTGAGCTCGGTGTCGTAGCAATTAACGTCAAAATTACACGTCTCCGCGCCTAGACATTGGCACCGAGGTCCAAGGTTATTTTCTACGTGGCGTTGACGTGGCTGCTTGCGTGGCGTTGACGTGGCACTTGGCTCGGCGCCGTGGATATTGGCGCCGAGCTCGGCGCCACTTCGCCTGGCGCCAACCTGACTTGCAGGCATAACCCCTGGCAACTGCATGCAGAATATGGCAGGATGGTGACATACCCGTGGGCCTATCTATTCAAAGCTAGTGTAGAAGAGAGAGTGCACGGCTGCAGGGGCATGCATGCATGTAGCTAGTCCTGCTGCATAGTCACGCCTGAAGAGTGAAAGAGCATAGGAAGTCCTGTGCTTGCACGAGCCTCGAAAAAATAACATGTGGTGGAGTGGAAAATTTCTTCTGGTGCACGCATATTGTTGAGAGGTTATTGTTCTGCACGGTGGACCGCAGAGTTTAATGAATATACGGCCGTTGTATCGGTTAGCATGAGCAGAGTTGAGATGTCAGCATTTGACTAAAGTTTAATGAATATACGCCGTTGTATCTGTTAAGTTAAACCATTTATATTTGACTAAGTTTTTAGTGGATCGTATTTAAATTTATGACTCAGAATCAATTTATTATAAAAATATTTTTTATAATAAATCTAATGATATTTATTCAAATTCACCGTGGATAACTAGACCGAATCAAATAGAACATACCAAGACATAAATCAAAGAGCGCTACGTGCACAAGCGAATGACGGTGGCCACCGAGACGCGAATATGGTGCAGCACGCGGAAAAATCAAGCTTGAGCCACCGTTGGGCGGCCGCGCGTGAAAAGCTACTGGGACAACGTGCTCCGGCTAGCTAGGAAGACGGGCGTGGGCGCGGCTGCCGGTCGCAGAGAAGGAGCTGGGAAGACAGGCGTGGGCGCGACTACTGGTCGCAGAGAAGGAGCCGTTGGGGGTCACGTGCAACTGCGTCCATCGCTGTCGGTTGCGGAGAAGGAGCCGTGGGGAAAAATCTTTCATTCTTTTTGGACCTTTCATTTTTTAACTATGAGGAAAAATCTATTTTACCAAATGTTTTTAAAAATATTGTGGTCACATATAATGAATATAAGCATGGCCCACGGAGTTCAATCGTAGCATGAATTAAAATACGGCGCATTGTTAGATAAATCTCCAATCTTTTCATGTTTGTACGAGTTAGAGCAAGATTTGAAAACGAATTGAAACACATGTCATTTTAGTTAAATATATAAATTTTGAGCCAAAAATTGTGTAAGTGACCATTCAATAAACTGTGTGTCCCATTGTAGGATCTCTGGTACATCTAGAGGGTGAGTGAATAGGCCTATAAAAATTCAACTCAAACCGAAGTCAAATTCACCCGTGGCACTGTCGCTCCGTGAGCGCGGCACTGCCACACATGCAGGATAGATTAGTTCACAGTTTAAAATCTACCTAACGAAATTTAGATCGGATAAATTTCTTAGCTTCCTGCAGGATAGTAGATCACGGGTCGACAGCTAAAAATGGTGGGAACACCATACACAAGTAGACCGGCCTCAATCCTAGAAATCACCTCAATAACAAGAACACAAGTGTAGCAACACAAGCACAAGATGACACAAAGATTTATCTCGTGGTTCAGATCGCCACCAAGGCTTGCCAAAGTCCACGTTGTTGAGGTATACCACTAAGGATTAGGGTTATGCAACCCTACCTCGTTCTCAAGTCAAGAAAGTGAACTCTTGAGATGAGGGGTGATTATACTTGCTGCAAGAGGTGGTTACAAACCTCCCGGAGCTGCCACATAAGTTGGCAAGCTCCACGGGTGACGCTCTAGCCGGCTAGGAGCCAAACTCCAAGAGTAACAAACACAACCGTCGACTAAAACATAAAACAAGTGCTTTTTAGAGTTTGCGAATCAATGGAGCTGCTCTCTAATCGAGTTTTGGACCCTTATCCCTCAAGTATTGATGGAGAAATCAATGGATTTCTTGGGGGGCTTGAGGTCAACAATGGAGTGAGAGAGAGAGCTCCTACTGTTTTGAGCGTTCTGAAGTGAGGAAGAAGAGGCAGGTTGTCGTTGGGAAGGAAGAGGAAAGGTATATATACCCCCAGCCCCCAACGGTCACTTAAATCGTAGATAGCCATTAGGAGGAAAGGGGAAGGTATATATATACCCCTAGCCCTCAACAGACACCGCACCCAAGGGGTCGGGCGAGACGAAACCCACGACCTCGAGGTTAGGCGAGACAGAGCCCATGGCCTAGAGATCGAGCGAGATGGATCTCGTGACCTTGGGGTCAGGCGAGACGGAGCCAACGACCTTGGGGTTGGGCGAGACAGAGCTCGCACCCAAGGGGTCGGGCGAGCCTCTCTTCAAGTGCGGTAGTGCCGCACCACGCAAGACAGCAAGGGTAATAGTGAAGTATAAACTATCTTGGCTGTGAATCTGAGGATGCATGTGGTTGTTTGAGCACTTGGTAGCACATATTAGCTTAAGCATTGTGCCCTCCTTTATAGTACGGCTTTTCCTATACTCAAATTCAATATATAAAAAAATTTAAACCTCCATTGAGTTTGAAGCCATCTACATTTATAATTGGGGGCTCCTCCGTTTCGTGTAGCATCCTCGAATATAAATTCGCTGCTTGTCATCTCGATAAATCTCATTAGTTCTTTAAATACGTGGTTATTATCACCAAAACCCACAATTAAGGCTTGATTGTACTTTCAATCTCCCCCTTTTTGGTAATTGATGACAACCCAATTAGAGCTTACAAAAGATATGAAATAAATACTGAGACTTTTGAGCCATGGGTGTAGAGCCATCCCCTAAGTATGTGAATAGAGAATTGAATTCTCAAATTGACATAAGAAGCCAAGATTCATATTTTAGTGAAAGTGATGGGGCTCCCCCTACATCCATGCTCCTGTGGGGTGCTGCATACTGTGTCAGGTATGTAAAACGTGATGCAAATGACAGTTTATGCACAACATGGTTTGTTGTTGCAGCTGGGTGCGGCACTGCCACACTTGCTGTAACAGCATAAATCAAAACAGACACCACACGGCATGTGATACATATAAAGATATACATTCTAGCATAATTGTATCACAAGCGACAGCATAGATTAATATATGTTCATATCCCACATAAAAAGTCAAATAGTAGCATTATTTCACAATTTAGAGTTTTGAGCGCCTCTCAAACTTTTCACCTAGCGAAGACTAACACTCATTGAATAGGACATAAAGCACAACTGTTGACCATGGCATCGAAAAGTTGTTGACCCCCTCAAATTTTCTCCCCCTTTGGCATAAAGCACCAAAAAGAGAAGAAAAGAAGAAAGATCAACACCTACTCGTTATCTCCCTGGATGTCCGTCCAATCAATATCATCACTTCCTGCAGTAGTCCCGGCACCACCATCACCATCATCGTCGTCGGAGTCAATACGTGCACGGCCCTGACGGTGAGTAGTGGCGGTGTAGCGAGTGGAACGAGTGGAACGCCTCGGCTCCTATCTCTGACGGTATCCCTCTAGGGTCTCATCCTAATCTGCTGCTCGTTCCTGCTACTCCTCATCATCATCATCATCCTCATTATTTGAATCTATGTTGGAGAGACTTGGAAGGTCATACTATGGAGGAGGTGGAACAGGAGGAAGTGGTGGAAGGTCCTGTCCACGCTGCTGACGCTGCTCAAGCTGTGTCTTATACGCTCTATCAACTGCATAGGTGCACTTGGTTGAAGATTGCCTTCAACCACTTGCCAAACTTCTTCATCTTGCCTCCACTGCGAGACCTAGAGCGGGAAGACTTAGGGATGTCTACATGAGCATGAGAGCTCCCCGCTCCCTAAGTAGCTGTAGCTGGCTGGGTATTCT